GTTTATATCTTACCCTAACTGCCTCCTCTTTTAGTTTATAAACCTTCACCTCTCTCTTCCCTGATGCTTCTATTCTCCTTGTATCCCATCTACCTTTTACTCTCAGTGTAGCTACAACTAGAAAGTGATCTGATACATCTGTGGCCCCTCTATAAACATGTACATCCTGAAATCTACTCAACAGTCTTTTATCTACCAATACATAATCCAACAAACTACTGTCATTTCGCCCTACATCATATCTTGTATACTTATTTATCCTCTTTTTCTTAAATTATGTATTACCTATCACTAAACCCCTTTCTATACAAAGTTCAATCAAAGGGCTCCCATTATCATTTACACCTGGCACCCCAAACTTACCTACCACACCCTCTCTAAAAGTTCTCCTACTTTAGCATTCAGATCCCCTACCACAATGACTCTCTCACTTGGTTCAAAGGCTCCTATACATTCACTTAACATCTCCCAAAATCTCTCTCTCTCTCCTCTACATTCCTCTCTTCTCCAGGTGCATACACTCTTATTATGACCCACTTTTCGCATCCAACCTTTACTTTAATCCACATAATTCTTGAATTTACACATTCACATTCTCTTTTCTCCTTCCATAACTGATCCTTCAACATTACTGCTACCCCTTCCTTTGCTCTAACTCTCTCAGATACTCCAGATTTAATCCCATTTATTTCCCCCCACTGAAACTCCCCTACCCCCTTCAGCTTTGTTTTGCTTAGGGCCAGTACATCCAACTTCTTTTCATTCATAACATCAGCAATCATCTGTTTTTTGCCATCCACACTACATCCACGCACATTCAAGCATCCCAGTTTTATAAAGTTTTTCTTCTCTTTTTTAGTAAATGTCTACAGGAGATGGGGTTACTAGCCCAGTGCTCCCGGCATTTTAATCGCCTCATACGATATGCATGGCTTACGGAGGAAAGATTATTTTCCACTTCCCCATTAGTATTTATTGTAAGAAATCAAGTGCAGTATGTATGGCAGCCAGCCAGACCACCCCACCCACACATACTATTCTATGATATTTAAGCATCTCAGAGTGATAAAATGCATATACAGTTCATTCATTACTTACCTTAGAATATTTGTTGTCTTAATGTAGGGTCAGAGGTGAGTAAAGGAGGTAAAATGAATAAATGAGAGAGAGAGAGAGAGAGTGAGTACATGAGGGAGGACAGGCGCAGAGTTATGTAAACAAACCAGGCGAACATAAGTTTTGTAAACAAAGTGTACACGTCTGGTTTGTGTACAAGTTACATTGTGTACAAGTTGTCTCTACATTGATATGGTAGAATAAATAAAGAAGAACACTCCCATTCTCATGTAACACCATTTTTAGAAGAAATGACACTCTGAGTGAAGGCAATGGAAATAAGTCACTCTGTCTGACTTTTTTTGGGTTATCCCAGGTTCTCTACACATATGCTGTTATGTATGATAATCTATGTAACTGTATTTGTGTATACAGCAGGGCCCCGCTTTACGGCGTTTCGCTTTACGGCGTTCCGCTAATACGGACATTTCAAATTATGACCAAAACTCGCTATACGGCTCCCCCCACCTGTCTTTCTAATACGGTCACAGCGGCCCACCGAGTTTGTTTACATTCTCCCTGAGCACATCTCCTTATTATGTCTGGAAACTTTCCAAAATTTCAAGTGTTTTAAAGTTATTGTATATTTTATATGTATTGTACTTGATAAACTTGTGTACACCTGTACCTAAATAAACTTACACACTGTGCTGGCATGTAGGTACACATTAAAATCACTAATAATAATAATAATAATAATAATAATAATAGTAATAATAATAATCTCTTGGGCGCATTAATGTCGCATATTACGTTAATATAGACATTTTCCTTAATCTATCTATGATATTTTTTCAAATTATATAAGAAACACATTATGTAACACACAAACATGATACATGCACCCACAGTATAAAAATTTATACAAATATATATGAGATGTTTACCAAACGGTTTGTAGAAGTGTCGGAAGAATTACGTTTTCTCTAGCCCGTCACCTGTTACTAGGGATAACTGTAGAAAAATATTCCTTTCGTATGCCTTCACTTTATAGCTATAATTCTGTACTAACTTGTACACAGTGTAAGAAATATTTGTTTCGTGATTTAATTATTATAATAATAATAAAAATATTATAAGGTAAAAGTTTCACAAACTCTTACAAATGTACATGAATGAACTAAAACTGGACACGTATTAATACTGTCTATTTCGCCTGACCGAGTGATCGTCCACAACCTGTTCAGTTTTTTTTTGTTTTACGCTGTCTGAGCTCGGTGTATCATTAAATGTTGTATATTACGTTAATATACACATTTTCATTAATCCATCCATGATATTTTTTTCAAAATTATATAATAAACACGATACATAACATAAATACATAACAACATATGTGTAGAGAACCTAGGATAACCCAAAAAAGTCAGAGTGACTTTTACTTCCATTGCCTTCACTCAGAGCATCATTTCTTCTCAAAATGATGTTACATGAGAATGGGAGTGTTCTTCTTTATTTATTCTACCGTATCAATGTAGAGACAACCTGTACACAATGTAACTTGTACACAAACCAGACGTGTACACTGTTTACAAAACTTACCTTCGCCTGGTTTGTTTACATAACTCTGCGCCTGTCCTCTCTCATGCACTCATTCTTTCTCTCTGGTATGGTAGCCTGGCTGACTACCATACATACCACACTTGATTTTTTACAATAAATACTACTCATCTCACCCTATATTTTAAGGTAAGTAATGAGTGAACTGTATATACATTTTATCGCTCTGGGATGCTTAAATATCATAGAATAGTATGTGTGGGTGGGGTGGCCTGGTATGGTAGCCTGGCTGACTACCATACATACCACATTTGATTTCTTACAATAAACACTGCTTGTCTCACCCTAGATTAAGACTATAAATATTTTAAGGTAAGTAATGAGTGCACTATGTGTGTATTGTACTTTTTTATTGTTTTTTGATGCCTGGTTCTATTGCTAACATAATATATGTTAGTGTAAACTTGTTATCTAGTGTTTGTATGCATTTGTAAGTGGAAAAAAAGGGTGTTCCACTTTACGGCGGTTTCCGCTTTATGGCGGTAGCCTGGAACCTAACCCGCCGTATAAGTGGGGCCCTCCAGTATCTGAATAAACTTACATACGAAAGGAATAATTTTCTACAGTTACCCCCACTAACACATTTTCTCTTATGTTGGACTAGAGAAAATGTTATTCTTGCCGTCACTCGTAATGTATATGTGCAACCATCTGCCCTGGCTTGTAAACAATGCACACTAGCTGAGCTGAGGCGCTCTGGCCAGATAGATGTGTTCGGGACGAATGATGTAAGTCGAGTTCTTTTTTGTAGGTCGGGGAAAATTTTTTATGCTGAAACGCTTCATAAGTTGATTTTATCATTAGATGATGCCTTCATTAGTTGAGGGTCCACTGTATATCCACTCGTTGTATGCAACACAATAACTGCACAAACATTGTTATCATTATAATGTTTACATAACTTGTTTACACAAACCCACACTGCCTTCCATACTCACACCGTCTTCTCCACCACCCACGCTGCATTCCACACTCACACTGTCTTCCCCACCACCCACGCTGCCTTCCCCAACACCCGCACCGTCTTCCCCAACACCCATGCTGGAAATAAGTATATCTGATTCTTTTGGCTTATCCTAGGTTCTCTACACATGCTGCTATGTATGATAATCTATGTAAATGTATTCATGTATACCTGAATAAACTTACTTACACACCATCTTCCCAACCACACACACCATCTTCCCCACCATTTATGCTGTCTTCCCCACTATCCAAGCTGCCTTCCCCACCACCCATGCTGCCTTCCCCAACATCCAAGCTGCCTTCCCTTTTCACTATCTGTTTCTGGTATCCTGGGCATTGCTTTAGGTCACAAACTCCTCAACACCATAAAATTCATCTTCACTGACACTTCCATCTGTGTTAGATCTATCACTTGGGAAGAGAAGAGTCCCAAATTTGCCGGGGAGTGAGATAATTCTTACCGCAAGGCATAGTAAACAAGGACTACTGAAATGGGATTCCAGGACTCGGATATGATCAGTGTTGATGATAGTGATTGGGATTTGGAAGTACTTGATGACAATTTCAGTGAAGAGGAACAGCGACAGTGAAGAGGAATATTCTCCAGTGAAGCGTCAATTTATACGACGCTACATGCATTCTGGTAGTGTGCCATATGTTATTCCAAGGGAAAGGAGTACATCTTGGAGTACATCCCATGGCCCTGCACCAGGAACAGATAGTGAAAATGATGATGATATTGCTACAATTGGGATGGATAATATACATGCAGCATCAGATGGTGGTGGTGCCATGCGTCATGTGGCACCAGCAGCACCCCAGGCTGGTAGCCATGCCACTGACTCAGCACATCCACAACAAAGGCCACCCTCAACCAACCACACATCACAACCTGCACAACCACAACCACCTGTCAATATCCAGTACCCACCAGCAGACTACATCCGGGATTGGCAGCAGGGTGCCAATTTTGTTCCCAGTCCCCATCAGTGGATAATGCGTCAATCTGGAGTTTTACGACACTCTGACAGTGGGTTCAAGCCCCACCTGTGGTATGGTTTGTTTGTCACTATGATTTTGTGAGTCAAGTGTTCAGTACTCCACATCAATACAGTAGTGTTAAGTACTTTGCATCACTACAGTAGTGTTAAGTACCCCACATCACTACAATGAACTGTTAAATATTACTCATCACTATACTATTTTACAGTTAATACATTTGAATTTCTAACCCCCATAACTGACTGTAGCCTGCAACTGTTCTTCATTGTCAAAAAACAAGCAAAAAAGTTGTCAAATCAATATTCAAAAATGATAATGTCAACTGAATTATATTATTACAACATTGTCAAATTTACCTTTGTGGTGTGTGAATAAATCGAGCCCTCTGGTTGTGAGCATTCTGGCCACCATAGTAGTATATATCATCTAAGGATCTGTAGTAACTAGAGGCATCTGGATGAATGCTTTGCATTATTTCATATGCTATTCGACATACCTGGAATGAAAATCATATGAAGTACAGGAATCACTAAAAAACTTAACACTTCCCATAATATTGAGTGAAAGAGCCCAACTATTACAGGCAAAAGAAAAACCAAAAGCCAAAAATACTGTATTTAACTTATACAGTGGAACCCTGAGTTTCAGCCACCATGAGTATCGGTGGCTTCGAGTTTAGACCGCTTTTTTCGGCTAAATTTTGTCCCGAGTTTCACACTGTGCCCCATGTTTCAGCCCATGTACCAGACCTGTCTGCCTGCCTGCGCCTGCCCACGCAGGTGTTGTGAGTCAGCCTAGCTGCTTGTTTATCCTTGAGTGAGCATTACCCTGTGCACTCATCCAAACATTTCACAATATAATTCATTGTGTTTTGTGCTTGTTGTTTGAATGCAATTGCTACATAATTAACAATGGGCCCAAAGAAACTTCGAAGCAGCAGCCCTTTGGTAAAGAAAGTGAGAAACACCATAGAAGTGAAGAAATTGTACAAAAATATGAGGCAGTGTGTCACAGTGGTGGAGGCAGTAATTGAGACAGTGGTTGAGACAATGGTTGAGACAGTGGTTGAGGCAGTGTTGGAGGCAGTAGTTGAGGCAGTGATTAGGGAAGTGGTTGGGGCAGTGGTGGAGGCAGTGGTTCAGGGGGATTCCCGTTCCAAACAGTAATAAGTCCTCCCTCTCTCCTCTTCCCTATTTTCCAGACGCCAACAAGAGTTTTCAATAAAGGTACGTAAATGTGATTTTAAATGTTTATTTAAATATTTATCTATTTCATTACTCATTTAAGTACTACAGTATATGTATTTATAACTGTTTTGTGTATGTAAAACTATATTCTTCAAAAAAATGTATTTTTTGTGAATATTTTTAGGGGTCTGGAACAGATTAATTATATTTACATTATTTCTCATGGGAAATATTGCTTCGACCTTAGACCGTTTCGACTTTAGGCCTAGCTCCTGGAACGGATTATGGCCGAAACCCAGGGTTCCATAGTAATTACTAAGAGGACAATATTTTTTTTTTTTTTTAACAAGTCAGCCGTCTCCCACCGAGGCAGGGTGACCCAAAAAGAAAGAAAATCCCCAAAAAGAAAATACTTTCATCATCATTCAACACTTTCACCTCACTCAAACATAATCACTGTTTTTGCAGAGGTGCTCAGAACACAACAATTTAGAAGCATATACGTATAAAGATACACAACATATCCCTCCAAACTGCTAATATCCCGAACCCCTCCTTTAGAGTGCAGGCATTGTACTTCCCATTTCCAGGACTCAAGTCCGGCTATACAAAAATAACCAGTTTCCCTGAATCCCTTCACTAAATATTACCCTGCTCACACTCCAACAGATCGTCAGGTCCCAAATACCATTCGTCTCCATTCACTCCTATAGAACATGCTCATGCACGCTTGCTGGAAGTCCAAGCCCCTCGCCCACAAAACCTCCCTTACCCCTTCCTTCCAACCTTTTCGAGGACGACCCCTACCCCGCCTTCCTTCCCCTACAGATTTATATGCTCTCCATGTCATTCTACTTTGATTCATTCTCTCTAAATGACCAAACCACCTCAACAAACCCTCTTCAGTCCTCTGACTAATACTTTTATTAACTCCACACCTTCTCCTAATTTCCACACTCCGAATTTTCTGCATAATATTTACACCACACATTGCCCTTAGACAGGATATCTCCACTGCCTCCAACTGCCTCCTCACTGCTGCAGTCACAACCCAAGCTTCACACCCACACAAGTGTGTTGGTACTACTATACTTTCATACATTCTTTGCCTCCATAGATAACGTTTTTTTTGTCTCCACATATACCTCAACGCACTACTCACCTTTTTTCCCTCATCAATTCTATGATCAACTCCCAAGTATCTGAAAACATTCACTTCTTCCATAGTCCTCCTCCCCAATTTAATATCCAATTTTTCTTTATCTAAATCATTTGATACCCTCATCACCTTACTCTTTTCTATGTTCACTTTCAACTTTCTACCTTTACACACACCCAAACTCATCCACTAACCTTTGCAATTTTTCTTTAGAATCACCCATAAGCACAGTATCATCAGCAAAAAGCAACTATGTCAATTCCCATGTTGTATTTAATTCCCTATAATTTAATCCCACCCCTCTCCTGAACACCCTAGCATTTACTTCTTTTACAATCCCATCTATAATATATTAAACAACCATAGTGACATTACACATCCCTTTCTAAGACCTACTCTTGCTGGGAAGTAGTCTCCCTCTCTTCTACGCACCCTAACCTGAGCCTCACTATCCTCATAAAAACTCTTAACAGCATTTAGTAACTTACCACCTATTCCATATACTTGCAACATCTGCCACACTGCTCCCCTATCCACTCTATCATATGCCTTTTCTAAATCCATAAATGCAATAAAAACTTCCCTACCTTTATCTAAATACTATTCACATATATGCTACAATGTAAACACTTGATCTACACATCCCCTACCCACTCTGAAACCTCCTTGCTCATCCGCAATCCTACATTCTGTCTTACATCTAATTCTTTCAATTATAACCCTACCGTACACTTTTCCTGGTATACTCAGTAAACTTATTCCTCTATAATTTTTACAATCTCTTTTGTCCCCCTTCCCTTTATATAAAGGGACTATACATGCTCTCTGCCAATCCCTAGGTACCTTCCCCTCTTTCATACATTTCTTTCTTCTTTCAACACACCAGCCGTATCCCACCGAGGCAGGGTGGCCCAAAAGGAAAAACAAAAGTTTCTCCTTTTACATTTAGTAATATATACAGGAGAAGGGGTTACTAGCCTCTTGCTCCCGGCATTTTAGTCGCCTCTTACAACACGCATGGCTTACGGAGGAAGAATTCTGTTCCACTTCCCCATGGAGGTAAGAGGAAATAAACAAGAACAAGAACTAGAAAGAACATAGAAGAAAACCCAAAGGGGTGTGTGTATATATATGCTTGTACATGTATGTGTAGTGTGACCTAAGTGTAAGTAGAAGTAGCAAGATGTACCTGAAATCTTGCATGTTTATGAAACAGAAAAAAGGACACCAGCAATCCTACCATCATGTAAAACAATTACAGGCTTTCGTTTTACACTCACTTGGCAGGATGGTAGTACCTTCCTGGGCGGTTGCTGTCTACCAACCTACTACCTACAATATACATATAGGTCTCCCTCAACATTCACGTTTTCAACTTTCGCGGGCTTCACACATTTGCGTATTCCCAACTGCCAAATTTCCAGCCTCCAAATTCCCAACCGCCAAATCATATTTAAGTTTCCCGCCACCTGTGAGTCCCTACTACCGTCCCTCTGACCTCTGCAACTGGCAGCCAGCCCTCCCACCAGTGTGGCGAGTGTTTTGTTTGTTCATTATTTGCTATTAAACTACAGTATAAATAATGTAAACCCATTCATGACTGCATATTGGAATGGCTATTTGGACAGGTATTGGACGGTGACATCATGTGTTTACTCTTGAACACAGCAAATAATCAAACATTTCTGCTACTGCTAATAATAACAATAGTAATAATAATAATAATAAATGCGATAGAATTGAAGAAGGAAATTGTACAAAAACGCAAGGGAGTGGTTGACACATCGTCAGTGTGTGGCTTTGTTTATTCTGTGTTAACATTTAAAATTAGTCTTGGTGCTTTAAAACGGATTAGAATTTAAGTGTGATGCATGGTAGGGTTTGGTGCTTGGTAGATTGGGGAGGTGCGACGGGAGACAAGTGGTGAGGCAGTGGTGAGAAGGGTTGAGGCAGTGGGTGAGGCAGTGGGAGAGCTTGGCAGTGGGCGAGGCAGTGGTGAGGCAGTGGGCGAGGCAGTGGGTGAGACAGCGGTTGAGGCAGTGGGTGAGGCAGTGGGCGAGGCAGCAGTTGAGGCAGTGGGCGAGGCAGCAGTTGAGGCAGAGGGTGAGGCAGTGGGTGAGACAGCGGATGAGGCAGTGGTTGAGGCAGTGGTTGAGGCAGTGGTATTTAACCCCTTCAGGGTCCAAGGCCCAAATCTGAGGTGGTGCCCCAGTGTCCAAGAATTTAAAAAAAAAAAATTGTTATTTTTTCTTATGAAATGGTAGAGAATCTTTTTGTGAAGGTAATAAAACAAAAAGTACGAAATTTGATGGAAAATTGATGAAATTATGCTCTTGCGAATTTTAATGTGTCAGCGATATTTACGAATCGGCGATTTTGCCGACTTTGACTCCCATTTTAGGCTAATTACATTATTCCAGTCAACCAAATTCTTAGCTATTTCACTAGTATTACTTCGACTCTATCGATTGAGCACAAGAAATCGCTAAGTCAACTGTTTCAACTACAAATTAGTGATCAGAAATTGTTAATTTGGCCAATTTAACACAAAGTTCAAAATATTCCAATTTCAAAATAGGGTCCAGAATAAACAGTGTAGGTATTCCTGGAACTAAACTAACATTTCCTCTGTTCATTAGTTACGTTTTGAGGCTTTACAAATAAATTCCATTTTGATTTTTTATTCAAATAATGAATTTTTATTCACACCAAAAAATAGAAGATTTACTCTTATGCAATACTGTAATAATTGTATAAATATCATCACCATATTTGTGAATGCATATTAGACCCACCAGCTGGCATGTATTAGACGTGTGAGGTCGTTTGTTTACTCTTGAATATCGGCAAAAATTTAACATTTCTGCTACTTTGAGCTCAGTTTCAAGCCATTTCCAGTGCTAAAACCAATCAAAATCATCTCCGTTTCTGTAATATGTCTTCCATTCTATCAAATGAGACAAAGAAACCGCAAATACATCTATAAAAAACATACGAAAAAACACTGCGAAGTTGCTGTTTTAATCGAAAAATCATGATTTCAGTTTTTTTTCTCTCATTATACACAGTGTGCTGCAGGATCTGTTTTATGTGGTGCACACATACCACATAGATGTATTCTCTCATATCTAGGCCCAAATGTACCACTCA